GAGAGAGAGAGAGAGAGAGAGAGAGAGAGAGAGAGAGAGAGAGCAAGAGAGCGAGAGAGAGATCTACAAATCCAGCATAAGATCTAGAACTCTCAAGTAGTGAGACGGCACATCTGAAGGTAGATGCAGACAAGCCTTACTGGTCTACAACTTAGTCAGATATGACTGCAGGATTCACTACAAGTGCACACAAGCCTCAAAGATAAAGTAGATGATAAAGGGACCTAAATTGTTTGGGTAGGAAGCTGAAAATTTATGTAATTTGCACTTAGTAATAAAGAACCTGAAATCTGTGAACCAGACTATGGAACACAGAAATTTTTCTAATTAATTTTATTGAGAAACAGATAGCAATGAAACAGTTTCAAAAGTGATTAATAAGACAGTTTCAATAATTAATACATTGCATATTGTTGTCTCCTTAGTGGTTTTTCATAGTACAAGATGCAGACGTGATATCCTGTCCAAATACTATTAGTATAAGTCTTTCCTCTCATTGAATTAAGAGCAAGTAGCTGTCCATCTATCCTATTTTGTACATAGAAATACAAAATTGTCCTTCCTTTATATCCCCTTTTTTTGTTTAGTTTTGTTAGAGATGGGTATTCCATTGTCAATAATAGTGGGTTATCCAGAGGACTGGCAAAGTCAGAAATTGTTGACTTGAGCCTTTCACAGCTCAGCATTTTAATATGGCTTTACTTTTTCTACCTCATTTTCATACTTTTCTGCTGGATGGTTAAGACCAAGATAAAGCAAAACCTATGTAAATAATAGGAAATGTAAGTTTTGTATCTGATAAGTTCAGTCAAGTCCTCTCAGGATTTATCCAGTAACCCTGCACCGCAGTTTTCACATCCTTTGTCAGTGTCAGCCATGTGGATGAGTCATGGCCATTACTTGACCAATGTGCTCTCTGTGAAAGCCTGAGAGAATATTTTCTCTCCACGTGACTCTCCTTAGGCACATTCTACATCATTGATCACGTTGCTCTGTGGCCCTATAATCTCTTTGGTCAGAAAATTTGGGACACATCTGAGTTACATGATGTTATGGTATAGGTTCTCCTATATCCTGAGTCTTCACTGACTTTGAAAGGCTAGGGTCAAAATATTGGCTGTCCTTGCAGCTCTCCTTTTTCTTTAATTTTTGGTCTGCAAACTTAGGTTGTTAACCCTTCAGGAGAGAAGCTTATTATTACCCTACAATATATGCAGTTAGGTTTAACCTCACTCTCTGTTTGAATATCAAACATGTTAGGCATAACATGGAACAGGTATTTTCCATCTAGTATTCATATGTTAAACTTTAAGTCTCTACAGAATATGGAGAAAAGTACTAAAAAATAAAAAGTATTTAAACAATATGAATAAACAGTTATGTATTTTTACACAGAAATTTAGAAATCTAACCATATACACCATTGTAGCAGGACAGTCCTGTGAGCAATGATCCCAAGAAACATCAGCAGGTTTTTGAAAGTAGCAGTTACTGTGCAGGATTCTCACCCTGACTAATTATACATGCTGATACCTGTGAACCAAGCAACTGCACTGAAGATAGCAATGTGTAATAGAAGGGTCATACTTGGAATGCCTGTCATTCTGGCCTTCTACATATGTACTGCTTGTCATGACATAATTATTGCCATACTGTCTCTCAAGTAAATGTTTATTTTTTAAAAAAGGGAAATAAATGAAAAAAAAAAAACAAGGAACATGGCAATTAAATAAAACTTAAAAATAAGGACATTGCAAATGATTCAAGGACACAAAAGAGAATTCAGACTGAATATGAGCAGTAGCAGAAAGAAGAGCATTAATTTTTAAACAATTCTTAATTTCAACCCTGATACTATGAACTGTTTCCACCCCATGGTCTGTTCTGGACTTGTTGGCATGTAAACCGGCCAGATTAAAGTTCTAGTCTTTTTCTTAAGAAAGATGAAAGTGCAACTGGAGCTACAGTATGAGATGTTGCTACCTGCCACAGTCAACTTGCAATGACTGAAACGCTGAAGTTGCCATTTGTCCTGTCCTGATTCTTCTTCACATTCTTTAATATTCTGACTACCTGCATAACCCGGAGTGTGTGCAGGTCTCATAAGCCCAAGTAGTCCCTTTCCCTGCTTTTTACCTTTGCCGGTGCAGAGTGGCTCTCCCAAATGCACTGCCCATTCACACTCATCCCGACTCCTGACTTAGTGCTATATTTTGGCACATGGAAGGCTTGGCATGGCTTTTGAACTTGATTATGGCTTTCATAGCTATGCTTCTGGTCTTCATATTGGATTGAACCAAATTACTGACTTTTCTCGTCTAATATCTAAGTGCATATTAAAAGACATTAAGGCAATGTAATGATGCCTGCCATTTCTTTTTCAGACATACCCTAACACTACTCTGACACTAAAGATACTCTGACATTAAAACTGCTTAACTCTCCCTCTGATGACATACATTTGACACTGGAGACATTAAAAAGACAAGACAAGGTCCCAGACTGGAGAATGAAGTAATTAAGACACAGATGCTATATTCTATTGTAGAATAAAGAAAAGGTACAGCAGACAAATAGAAAGTAGCAACTAACTACTTGTATTCATATATCATTAATTTATTCAACTAAGATACGCCAAGTCACAAGTATAAAACGTGTAATGTTGGAAGGAGAGCTTTGACTTACATTCACTCAGACCTACAATACCCCTGGCCCTCCTTTCTCCCCAGTTCTTAGATATGAGTGCACATCTGGACTGCTTGGGGAGCTTATATAAAGTACAAATCCTGGGTGTACACAACACCCAGGAGATTTGGATTCAAACATGTAAAAGCAGAGGTCCTGAGAATCTGCAGCTTTCTAGGAAAGCCAGCCAAGTTGAAGATCTAAATGTCTGCCAGTGAGGTAGACTACATTAGAACAAACATTCTCCAAAGGTGCTCCCTGAAGAGTCAACCATGGCATCACTGGAACTTGTGAGGAATAGAAACTCTTGCCCAGTTCCTTCTCCTACTGAGCCGGGACTTCTGGGGATGGGACCCAACAGTCTGTGCTGTAATCAGCCCTCTCAGTACTGCTTCATGTTGAGAGCCACATGTGGGAGTGGGAGAAGGGTTGGGACAGAATCAAATGACACAGCTTTGCTTGAGATACTAACTGAAGCACCTCAGGTCCTACTCTATTAACTACCCCAATTC